ACACAGGTTTTAGCGTATTTAGCAAAATTTACACCCTCCAGAAAAATGGACTGTGCCAATGGTATTTTCAGATCGCTTCTGGGGAGCGAGAAAAATACGGTTAGCGAGAGAAAAAGCATCGGGAAAAAAGGATGGAATTCGAACAAATTGCTAGCGAGATTGGTAAGTATTTTGACTGAATTACTAATTATAATATCACTAGTACATTAGTTCTTAATTTTATATCATTAACATGGGTTTTAACAGCCCGCTAATATAGATAAATGATTTAAATGCTAGGCCTAAATATTACTCATCTACGGTGTCACGAATGGTCGCTTTCTCGCCTTGCTCAACAAGCGAACTCCGCGAGTCGTATCACTGCACTGCGACCATTCTTGCTAGATTGGGCCTAGTTATTGGTGGTTTTAAGTAAGTAATAAATAAGTCTTGAGTATGCCTAGCTAATTAGGCCTAGGCTAGATAGATGTATGATGGATGAAGATGTAATTTATAATATTAATTGTTTTTGCAGATGATGATGTTTTCAAAAGTTTAAAGATCGAGTTTGGGAAAGGCAGAGGGAGGCCAGTTACAGGAGGCTTGCATAGTAAACCTGTACAAAACAAGTTTCTGTAATATATATATATACTATTAATTTAACAGTATATATTGTCAATGATCAGTAATGATAGTGGTGGTGATTCTCTTCTTTATTGCACTGTACATACCAAAATAAAGTTGATTATTGATCAATTCAAATAAATGTTGAAAGGTATGATAACAACTTTGACTCATATTTCAATTCTGTGTAGTATTGAGTTGAACAACACATGCGTTCTTTTCACTTGATTCTATCTCCTCTGATGATGCAGTTTGGCCTGACTAATGATTCTTTCTCCTGTGATGGATGTGACATATTTCAAGCAAAATTGAAAATTATGCCTGTTTATTTTCTAATTTTGAACCAATTTTAATGTAGCTTGATTTGACTGATTTAATTTATGTGAGTCTTTAAATAGTAAAACATTAACAAAAAAATAACATAAATGACAAAAGGTTACAACATATACAATTTTTACACCATTTTTATTACTTTTCAAACATTGCCGATTTTGCATTTTAAAATGTTTTGGCGATATTTTTATTTTAGGGGTTTATCTTATTTAATTTAAGTATGTTATAATACATTTGAGGTAGACCCTGGCCATATATATATATACCGTTCTTTGTAATGCAAAATAAAGTAAGTGGATTGATGCAGTGGTTAAGAAGATATAGGCCGTTGAAAAAGTGCCGATTTTGCACATTTTTGAGACATTTGCGAAAAATTGCCAAAAAATGCAGAGGGACCATACTCGTGGGCTGTTATTTTAAAAACCACATTGCAGAGTGTCCCCAAAAAAAATAGACACATAAAACCCTATGTGATCTACCAGATTGGTGAAAATTAAAGTTATGGTCCTCCAAAAATGCTCAAAATGGCAATTGATGAAAAACGCCGTTTTTTAACCATTTGACCCCCATTTTTGGCAACTTTGATGGGCCATAACTTTTGAACGGTATGTTGGATTTCATTCATTTAAACTGGAAAGTGATCAGTGCAGTAAGTTCTGCATATTAAATGAAGAGAGAATTCACAATTAATGAATTTGAAATTTCTCATTGGGATACCTTACGGAAATTTGACTAAGTCCACGTTACCTTGAAGACGACTTTAACTGCTCATAAAATCTAAACCGCTCAACCAATTTAAAAAATTTAAATTGTTTTTTGTTTCATTTTCTGAGATGCAACTGACAAACAAATAAAATTTAACAGAATAGGGAGTTAAAATCTTTGGTTGTGATACCAAATACCAGACAAAAAGAAAAAAAAAATAATAATAATAGGCCTATCTAAATATTTTCTTGATTAAAAAAAAAAATAAGGCCATTATTACAATAACTACTTAATTTTTTTAAATGAGCCATACATTACAAAATAAACTACTGTAGCATATAACAATCCGTAACATTTATTTACAAGATGCAATACAAGGCTAAATTTACTTAAGTGTTGACAACATTTCTGCCAACAGTGAGTAAACTCAACCGTGGCTAAATCAATAGGTGATTTCTTATGACAGCCATCTTCTTTGATTAGGTACAACATCAAAGGGCTGTAACAAGTCCATTAAGATTCCACAGTGAAATAAACTGTCAAGAACTAACACATCATGGCAACAATCCATGAACATACATACCTTTTCACCTGAAAATATAACTTTGGAGGTGTTTTTTTTAGGGACTTGAAATTAATAATCTTTGAAATCTTACAGGAATGCAGACCTGTTTTAATATGCATGCATTTCTGTCTTGTAAAATACTAACAGACTACGCCAACAAAAAAAACAAAAAAAATTAATATTCTGGACCATGGGTTTCCATAGAATCCTGTGAATTCAATCTAAATTCTTAAGTCCTGTCTAGACTACCAAATTTTATTTGACAAAAACCTGACATGCCTAAATATGGTCAGGATGACATCACATCTTGACTATATATGGGCATACAACCGCTTTAAAGCTCAATTCCACACGATCAAACTCTATGACGTGACAAATAAATGTGATATGCCCATATTTGGGTGTAGTATGACATCATCAAACCCATATAGGCATCACACAAATTTGTCGCACGAAATTTGATATTGTGGACAGACCTGAAAAATAATTCAAATAAAAACTTTGAAAGATATATTTCCCTAATTTGTTCATCGTAAGAAGTTGACTAATGTTGCTTATAACTGATAAAATTAGAGATACAAACAACAATGACCTTTAGACTAAGTAAGAAGTAAAATACAATGAAAAAAAAAAACAATGTGTTTTGTAACACAAGTTAATCCACACAAGCTTAACAATGATTACATCTTTAGAGCCAAACAAATCTGAGTATTCTAATAAAAACAATGCTCTTTGTTTATGTAACATTTGTAATTGTTATCTTGATGAGGCATGTTGCGAGGGATTTTCTCACAAAGAGACAACTGGAGATGCGATTTCTGCTTCGACTTTTAAATTTCCTCTTTTTATTTTCACGGGTTTAGAGGTTCATCCTTTGCTCTTCTTTCCTCCCTTCTGTCACTGTTTTTCTCCTTGGTTGCTTTTAAATTGCTTGATTTTTTTTTTTACGTAAAAATGATGATGTTGACTTTCTGCTTTACATTGGTTCTCTATTTTGTATTATTTTTTTTATGTTTATTTTCTGTGACTGAACATAAAAAAAAAACAAACAACACAAAACCATTAAGATTAGTAATTACAGAAGACTCCTTACTAAAATCATGGAGGTATATCTTTCTACCTAACTGTATGAAATTACATGAAACTCTCAGAAAACTTCTGAAAAGGCCCACAACTGGGCCTTCAGAAGCTTTCTGAATGTGTGATGCAATTGCTTAGATGTGATTATTTTAAATGCATGGAATAGCTAACTAAATTTATAGGTTCCCTATTTGAATACTAATTAGTAGTTTGCTGAACATGGTAATATGTGAACATGTGTAAAATACTAGGTCTCTGTGTGATTTCAACAAATGTCCTTGAAAATTTAAGTAAAAGAAACAGAGACAAAATAAAGAAACAACAACACAAGAAAAACAAAATATTAGATGGATTAAAGGCAACAGAGAATTGATGAAAAGACTCTAGCATATTGATAGGAAGATAAACTTGCCTTCTAATTTAGATGAGGAACTCCTGGATATATTGTCCCGATGTTCAGTGATATCCACTTGTGGAATCATAGAAACACTGCTAGTTGCCATGGAAACATCAGATGCATCATCTTTACATACTGAATGAAAGAAAGTGAATTGACTGAGAGAAAACCTAGGATAATAGTATTATATAACCAATATATGGGAAGATGATGCAGAAATGGGTTACATGGCAATTTGTCATCCTCTCTTTTTGCACTATTTTTAATAATGAAATTCAATGACAAAGTAAACCTGTTGATTATAACATATAAAATCTAAATGGCAAGTCCTTGCTGGTGACTGAAAGTGAAATGAAAATAAGTGAAAAAAAAAACAAAAAAAAAAATGAACTGTTACTTGTACCACCATCAATATTGCTGTTATTAGCATATTATTACTATTAGCATATTTATTCGACCACATTAGGTGTTCATAATCGGTTAGAATCAGTACATTATCAGCAAATTTAGCAAATCAATGTTACCATGAAAAGAATAGCTACCTTTGAATCTGTTATTAAAATCATCGACAGGAGTTGATGTACCCAGTGGTTTCTGAGAGGAAAATGGCGTCCCTTTAGACTCTGCACTCTGAGGCACATATACCACATCCATGTCAACATCCACATCACCCTGCATCTCTTCATGTGCATCAACATCCTGTCGTTCTTTAGGTAGTGGCCAGCCTGGCTTGTCATCATCTCGTTTAGATTGGTCGGCTTTTGATGCTACTTTGTCATTTTTCTGCGATGATGTCCAGTAGTTTGTTAGCCAAGAAGGCGTCACAAATCCAAGAACGGAACTAGAAAATCTTTGAAGGAGTGACTGCAAGAAAGAACATTGTTTTGCAATTAACACCATGTCACAAAATAAAGATATCTAATTGAAAGAAAATCAAAAGATGCACCCTGTCAATGTGCCTGGATTGAATATACCATGCATTTATTACTTTTTAATAATTTAATGATGTAGGTAAAGACCAAGTACAAGAGTACTGTAATTCTGTGTAAAAACCACATGCAAATATTGCACTTGGGTACCCATTTTGGAAGATTTGGAATACAAAATTAAATGATGCATGCTTAGAATAACATTTGTTCAACATTAAATAAAATTATGGCAAAATTCAAATAATACAGGAACACAAACGTACACTTTAGATGCTATGGTGAGCAACAGCAGTAAAATTTTGCTTATATTGTAATTTCAATGTTTATTAGATATGCTAACCTATTGTTCTCAAAGTATTTCATGTCATACTGTAACTAAATTCTCAGCAGTTCATAGTCCTTAAACCTATTCTAAAACTGTGACTTGGTTATAATTGTATAACTATAGTTTATTTGTATCAGTTTATTGTTTCTATTCTGTAAGTAGCAGGCCACCTGCTGATGAATGCGAATTGAAATAAAATAAAATAAATAATACACGTCAACAGGGTATAAACCCAATATTTTTTTATTTCATTTTTAACGAGTATCCTTAAGATACAACTGCTGTCGGTTACTTTCAGGGATACTTTTTGGTAATATCAATTTAATTAATAGTAATAGCAGTTTACCAAAATTTCTAAAGGGAAGTTGAATGATGGCTGTCTTTCACACCTTTCATTCAATCAATGGCAAAAAGAATTCTGATATTTCTGAATAGTTTGAGGAATTTAAACTGATGCATCTAAAATCTTGAGGGTTGCTGTTGCTTTTCTTGTCATATCATCATGAACGCATCTAGCCCTGTTTGCAGTGGATACATTCTTTTAAGTACAGCAAATATTGCCCTTCTGATGTGGTTCGACTCTGTGAAGCTTACACGACGATTTAATGGCTTCATGCACAAGTTGTTAAAAACACTGGAAATATTATTCAATAATAGGCATAACAGTTGTGTCTGGGTGTCACACGAGAAAAATACATAAGCTGTGAACGCTACAGAAGTCCCAATTGACTTGAAAAAAAAAAAGCTATATATATAAAATATACGAAACTTGGATCATAGAATTTACAAAAAGTGGTTTAATTTCCCCCTCCACGTTGACTGGATCCATATTTGGCAAACCAACACAAATTAACACTTCATTGCATTCACTCAAAATGATTGAAATTTAACAAAACTTTGATGCGCTTTTTTCCAACAACCCAGCCAGGCATTTTTCTTCCAGATTCTAGAACATTCTCTTAGTCATAAAAAAAAAAATCACAAAACACAAAAATTAGGGCACTGTAACTAATTAAGCCTTATTGTATTTAATAATTTTAACCAATTTCTAGTGCCTAGATTGGGTATACAAAAGAAAAAAGAAAAATTCCTGTATTATAGTTTGTAGGTCTTTTACATGCCAAAAAAAAAATCTCCAATGGGGAAAGAACTGCAAAATGACACATTTTGGCAGATATATTGGTTTGGTAAGAATATTTAAATTGCCACAAAAACGACTCAAAATGCGCATGTCAACAAAAAAATACATCCAAAGATGAAAATAATGCACAACTTCTCTATTCTCTTATACTATACTTAAAGCTGACCTAGAAATTCTAAAAAAATGGCTCAGTATGGAGGTTAAATTACACTTCAAAACTTGTACAGTATATTTTTCTTTCAAATTGGAAAATGTATCCAGGCACCACATTCTATCTTATACAAACCTGATAATGGACAAGGGTGCTGAAAAGAGGGAGATGGGGTTCATTAATACTGTAAAGCAAATTAATCTCAACTATTACCATAATACAAATTGCATACTGTACTTAACAAAATCTTGTATCCATGGGACAATACAAAAGACGAAAATATTGCTCCGCTATTCTGTTGTACTTTACTACTGTAAACCAAGAAATTCTAAAGCGTGGCTCAGCAGCGTGCAGTAGGTTAAATTACACTTAAAACTCGTATAATATATTTTTCTTTCAGACCAAAATTGGACAATGTATTCAGGCATGACATTCCATCCTAAAGGAACAAACCTGACAATGGACAAGGGTGCTGAAAAAAGGGAGATGGGAGTTCATTAATACTGTAATAAGTAATTTAACCTCAACTATTACCAATGATACAGCAACAATTTCTGTAACAAAATTTTATCCATGAGACAATACAAAAGATTTGCCTTCGAAATTCCAATCAAAGACTAGATGTAAAACAATTCGCCTGTAAAAACAGGGCGTGTCTTGTTTCATTCTACAAATATTTTCATTACATGCTACAAGTTTTTTCATTCTAGAAACTTCTTTATTGTTTACTGCCAACTAACATAACACATAAAATGAGTTCAACTTTGAAATACAGGTAAAACCTTGAACAGATCATCAATGGGCTTAACCTGGAGAGGAAGTTCCCTCTTTAGTGTGCAAAAGTAGCCTTGAAAAGAAGACCACTGAGGGCTCCTTTTTAAGATAGCATGGGCTTCTTTCCATAGTACATACACTGTACATGCATTTCAAAGAAACAAAATAAATCAAAAACATGCTTGGTTTACACAGAAGTTTAGGTGATTTAATGCCGGTTAATACAGTACAGCCGGAAATTATTGCAATTTTTCCAGTGTGCAAGCTTCACAGATACATTGTAGCCTGATATAAACAATTTAAGTAAGCCTACTTAGCGAACCTACAAAGCAATAGCATGTTGTTTATTTGTATGTGCAGAAAGACTGCTGTAGTTTACTGGAATAAACAATGTATTGGTTGATCATTTGTGAATGACAAGCACGAGTTTAGACCGTTATTTTAAAGTATGAAGCTGTTTTATAAGAAAAACGTACACTTAAATTCATGGAAGTCTTTCCTTCCACTCGCTGCCGAGGATAGAAACTTGTTTGTACTGCTGATATTATTTTTTTTTATTAATTAGCCTAGGGCCTATCCTATTTTTTATTTACAATTATTTTACCTCTTTTAACTGTCAAAAAATGATGTCCGAAACAACAATACACAAATGTGAAAGGAAAGTTCAAATAATATTTTGTAGTCTTGATTTAGTAAGATAAATAATAAATATAAAGGAGAGTTAACATCCGTTGATTGTAAAATTAACAAATGTCACATGGAAAACCCAAAGGAAAATAAAACTTAGCGAACTGCCACTTCATCTTGTCAACCCCGAAAATCTAGCATCTAGCATGCGTGCCAATCAGAACACAGTAAAGTATGTTAAAGGTGGTAAACATTGAAAAGCTGTGAGTGACAATGAGTAAAAAACAAGAAAATGCGGTCCAGCATGACTAGCTTTAATTCGGTAAGGTAGTGATTTCTATACTTTCATTAGTATTGGATCCCTTTGCAGGTTCTATTTATTGATTTTATAGTAGTAATTTCCAAAATTTACAGCATTCATTTTGAAAATCCCCCTCTCTTTACTTTGCAAAATGACCTTGAAAAGAAGCCCATCTGGAAAAGAAGCCCATTCAAAAAAATCCATGCTTGACACATTCGCAGTTCGTAAGCAAGGGTGAAGGCGGTTTGGCTCTTCGATTTTCATTCCGGTTATTGAACTTGTGGTCAGGAGTTCAAACCACATGCTGACCAATCTTGCTGGCTATGCGTAGCTAACCCACCTTGCATTGTTAGACAGACTGTAAAGTAGCTCAAGCTATGTTTCAGCCTGAGGCATAATCGGTGCCACACCCTCATCCCAAACAATTTGTAAGATGTATTATCTTAATTCATGTACAGTGGCTTTTAATAAAAAAACAGAGTTACTTAATTTCAAATGTACTGTTTATTTACCTCAAAACCAACACAAATATTTAAGCTACATTTTAATCAGGCCTACAGACTTTACCATAAAGGCCACGGCATGTTGCTTATTTTGCTGATCTCCTAACACCACTATTTAGCCCAGCTGAATGACACTCTGTTCAACATTGCCAGCTTGTGTATCATTAAAGCCCTTACAATTTTTGTGTCCATGCTAGCTCGATGCTTAGCCTTTTTTTTTTTTTGAACAACAGAGAAAACTCTCTCAGTCACTATTGCTACGAAACCGTAGTTCCCCGGTATAGTCCCACCTCGGGTATAATCCCACCCACAACTGAATTCTGCCGACTTGAAACTCTTCCAATTGCTTAGAAAAGACATTGGTCGCCGTGAAGTTGACAAAACCCATTTTTGTATAATTCTTTTGTTGTTTATACTGTCACTAAAAATAACCGTGGCTAAAAATAGACAACACCGCGGTCTGTCCCTAAAGAGACACGCCTAGTGGGCTGACTGGATCATTAATTCACAGCGTAAAGTCTCGCATGTTCCACAGCTGTAGCTAAAAATAGACAATACAGCGGTTCGCCCCAGAGACCCGCCCAGTTGGCTGATAGGATTGTTAATTCACAGCATGAAGTCTCACGTGTTCCACTGAGATTCACTGCTAAAAATAATTGTTACATCATGCAAAAAAACAAGTTTAGGCAAAGGCTGGCCTAGCAAGAGATACGACCAAGGCCTTCTAAACTACAATCAAGGTGTTCTCTTACTTTGATGCTGGAGTAACGACTGATTTCTTCGCCGGAATAGTTTTGGATAGGCCACTGCATCGTAGGGCAATTGTTGAAATGCATCTGCCACCTCACAAAACTATCAACATTTTCGTTCTGTTCATGAAAAAGGGAATCCCATGTATAATCCCACTCCCCAAAATCGGGCCGGGGGGGTGTTGGGGGGGGGGGGGGGGGGATGGATGGGAGTATACCCGAGGTACTACAGACTAATATTAGGGATGTCTCGATTTTTTGACATCGGAAATCGGGATGGTCCTGATTTAATCGGGATCATCCCAATTTCCGGTTGGCAGGTCTGCCTAGGTGCAAGCATTTTATGCAATATAAATACAGTATAAACTTACATGCAACCCCTTACTTAGGTGGCTTCCAGATGATTGTAATTATAAAAACAAAAGCGAGTGAATACATTTTTCTTACACCAAATCAGAAACAGCTTTTCAGTAGTCAAACTAATTCTAAGTTGAACAAGAGGAGATCCGCTCGAGAAGCGGATCACCAATGGTTTATCACAGCCAATTTCTTCTATCACTTTTGTTTTATACACTATGGTGGCATAACAATGCTGACTTATGCAATACATGACCTTCACCCTAAAATGCACCTTTTTCATAATTTGTGTTTATCATGGATGCTGAAGCATCATCTATAGTTCAGCATTAAAAACTTTAAACACAATTTTTAACACTAAACCCATAAATGACTAAAAAAAACGATATAAATTAATTATCGTATCCTACTGTTTAGATATTATCTAAATTATATTGATAATTCTGGGCTCACGCTAACAGCTCACTAAATCGCCATGGGCGAAAACTATTTTGGATTGGCAAAAAAAAACACCAACTGATTTAGCCATTTTGGCGAAAGCCTAAAATTAAAAAAAGTTTTAAATACTTGCGAAAAAACATCGTTTTTTTTTTCATTTCAGCTCCATTTTTCACTAACTCCATGCAATGCTTATTTGTGTTGTATGAGTAGTCTTGCTGCAAATGACATTGCGTGCCTCTCAAGTTATTTTTTTATTTGTAATTGTGATTTTAACGCGGTAGATGCAGAACAGCGGCTGTATGACGTAGACTAAAGGTGCCACCATGTAGCTTGGGTTTTTTCACTACAACACGAGGGCCGATGCGATGTTGATGGAGGTCGAAAGAGGATTACCCTAGTATCCCAGTGACTTCGTGTTATCATCAAATGCGTAAAATACATTTAAATAATTTGTGTAATAATTTAAGAATGCTCGTGGGTCAGTTTTTTACACAGCGTACGTACTTGTGTTGTCGAAAGAAAAATCTCGCAAACAAGGCTAGCCTAGCCGCAGGGCCTAGATCATGTACGTTCTTGATTATCGAGGTAAAAGCGTTGGGTAACATACGATCGGGCCCAACTGGTATGGATGATCGGGCTCAACTGGTGTGGACGATCAGGCCCCAAGCAAATTTTGAATATACTGTAGTCTAGTAAACCACTCATAGCTCCCCACACACAATGTGACTGTACAGGCCTAGGCCTACATAATTTGTTCAGCATTTGTAATAGGCGTATATTCAGCAAACTTTCAAATTACCTCTTCAATTGTGTTCTAAAATATGAATTTGCCTATCAAATAACATTTTCTATTCCTTTTTTTTTGGATAAAGACAGCTTCAATTGGCTAAAAATTTTTTTTTTTTTACTTTAGCCAATTGCCTAAACAAAAAAAATGTTAAAGTGATGCCAGTAATTATACAACAGGAAGTGAATATTCTCTAACAGAGGTGAATAAAGATGACCATGACATATTTTAATAATATCGTTTGCTTAAGCTGTTGGAACAATTAGCTTGCCCTGGAAATCAGTGATGCACGACAACCACATGGTCCGGACTTCTTGGTAACTATATTTTAATGTTAGGTCAAGCTGGCTATTAGAAGACAGACGGCTGTTATTTTTACTATTATTTTGAGCATAAAGTTCTAAAACATGCTAACTGAACATGTGCAACATTACTAGATATAACATCTGTAATGAAATAAACTTCAACCTTGATACATTGTAAAAAAATACAATAAAAAATAGAAGTCGGACAAAGTTTCTTCTAGCCAGATTATGAACTTGAGCTTAGTCTTACTTCCTGCACAATAATTTAGGCCTACAGAAAATCTGTCTTTGCATTAAAAAAAAACAAGGGCTGGATTCAGCGCAAATTTTTCATATATTTAGGCCTTGGCCTGTCTTTAACACTATGCATACTCTAGGCCTATTTATGATCCTACATATCCATTACTATCATTTTTTACACTCAAGATTTGAGTTAGTTTTCGATGTATCCGCCCAGAAAAAAGCCTGCATGGGGAATACATCCGTTGCACAAAAATTTAAAAATCTATCTATTCGTTGCACAAAAATTTAAAAATCTATCTATTTCCGCGCAGAATTAGGCACTGGCCTATCTCTTAATATGTAGGCCTAACCAACGTACTGTGCCAGTAGTTACGACTCTGCATACCCATTTTCCTGGCGATTTTCTGTACAAATTTGAGTAAGATTTTAATGTATCACTTTATAGTATAGACATTATCCCTCATCCCAGGATGTATTATTCCCTTCACAATTAAAATACTTTACAGACAGTACAGTACAGCCGTGAATTATCGCTTCGTATCAGCGCATGAACAATAATAACCTGCTCGTAGCATGCCCGTAGGTACCGTTTTTAACGTAGCTACGAACCACTACGAAGGTCAGTGTTATTTTAATTAGCTTTGCAATGATTGTAGGCTAGATTATCGGGCTAACAATGCGTAAACAATAATGAAATACAAAACTATACATAAACAATATTGAAATAATGGTTAACTTTCCAATTCGGAGTATTTTGATCCGATATTATGGTTCTGGCAGTAGGCATTATCTTCTTTCAAATAATAATATCGATGAAAAATCATGTACGAAGTATTAAGATTTTCACATACGTTGTGTTTGTTTACCGTAATTTGAGCAGAACCTGCAAAGCGATCCAATACTAATGGAACTATAGAAATCACTACCTTGCCTAATTAAGGCTAGTCATGCTGGACCGCATTTCCTTCATTTTTTAATCGCTTTTCAACATTTGCAACAAGGTTAACCTTTAACACACTTTACTGTGTTCTGATTGGCGTGAACACTGCCTGCTGCTGGATTTCGGGTTTGACAATATGAACTGGCAATTTGCCGAGTCTGTTTTTTACATTGGGTTTTCCATGCGACATTCAATAATTTTACAATTAACGGATATTAACTCTCCTTTATATTTATCTTACTAAATTAAGACTAAAAAATATTTGATGAACAATTATTTCACATGTGTTTATTGTTATTGAAGACATCATTTTTTGACAGTTGAGAGGTAAAATAATTGTAAATAAAAAATAGGCTAGGCCCTAGGCTAATTAATTAAAAAACAATACAGCAGTATAAACAAGTTCCGGTCGTTGACAGCGAGTGGAAGGGGAGACTCTCATCAAATCAAGTGTACATTTTTCTTATTGAAAAACAACTCCATATTTGACCCAGTAATACATAGTTTATTGCTGGAAGCTACAGCAGTCTTTCTGCACACACAAATAAACAAGACACTTTCGCTTCATAGGTTCGCTTCGTAGCCTTGCTTAGATTGTTTATATCAGGCTACGATGTAGCTATGAAGCCTGCACGCAGAAAAAATTGCAATAATTTCTGGCTGTAATTAGTGTCCTCAACATGCAATGGTAGTAGGTCTATGTTGATGGCACAATGATAATGAATTTAATGACACATGACTGCTATACAAGTCATAAATTGTGATTACTTTTCTTGTGATGATATTCTTAAAAAAGAAAGACACAAAACATGTTTAGAAACTTTCATTCTCATGACATGACATTACAAATTCAACTTTCTTTAATTATTGTTCACTTTATTACAAAATAGGAAAGCCCAGACAGGAACAAGATTTTATGACCTGGATAGTTTTCCGAAGATTTTACACTAAGCATGACATGTTGATTGGTTGGTGCCAGAAATTGGTGGAGATCGCTTGATCCCCGTCAACTTCAGTCTTGCTTTCTTTCAGTTAAAATGTTGGAATATCACAGGGACCAGATATGGCCTAGGTTTATATCTTAACAATCTTAAAATCAAAATCAATGCCTCTTTCAATTACTAAGGGCAAGAACTTAAGTTACTTCAGCAACATCCAAAAATGCATGATGTCACATCATCAGCATCATCACTCACTCACTCAGTTCAACATGGTGGATGATGCAAAAACTAATACTTCTTGTCATTACATGCGTTGTAACTATTTACCTCTTGAAATATTGTAATGTGGATTTTAAAATAACTTTAAAGCACTTAAAATTTAAAAATGAGCAGTGAATCGATTTTTAAAAGCGGGTGATATGTCATTTATATCTAGGCACACACATGCCATCTTACCTGATTCGTATCCGCACCGATTCGGTGACCTGATGATGAACTTGTTTCCCGCGTGCTCGATGTCGTCGCCCTAGAGTACGGCTTAGCCGTTGCCCGAGCACGTTTTCGTTGAATTTTTCCACCACCTTTACTTTCCATAGTAGCAGAAATATTCACTCCACGTCACAATGATATCGACGTGGAATGAAATGATCATAAAACCTAATATTTTATGATAAGAACCAACGATGTACTTTGTGAATTTCTATCAATATGGCGGCCTTTTCTAAGCTGAAGTTGATTGGTCAAAAATCACGTGCTTCCTTCCGATTTCCAGGCTCCTTACTTACAATTTTATTTAAAAATATGTTTCGTATATAAATATTAGTAAATTAATATTCACCTAATAGCAATGTTTAATTAAATATGAATATATTTATTTAGATATATGGGCTATACATTTATTGGCGTTTATATGGAAAATAATAGAGTTTATTAGAGAAATATTCAAAGGTCAAAAACCGAATGTTCAAATTTAGTTCACGAAAAATATTGAACGGCGCCATTTCGAAAAAATGAAGTAATTGGTAAATTTCCTGAGAGAGGAGTTGAATTGTAGGATCAAGCCTGGAAACCTCTTAAACACTTAGACCATAAATCTGTGAGTAATCGTGTTGTAAACTGTAGCACTGTTCCTTAAATTCACTATAATATGTGGAACTTTATGAATAAATGTTAGAACTCTGAATTTTAATGAAAGGACATTTACCGATTCATGAAAAATAATAAACAGATCACATGGCATGTGATCTGTGACATGCTCACCTTCCCCAGGACCTAGGCCCTAGGCCTAGGTTCATAATAAACTGCCATACCTTGCCTAGGCTAGCCTATGAGGCTTAGCTAGGCTAGGGCCTAACCTAGGGGGAGGGGGGCCTATATATTGGCTTGGCCTGGGTCAGGTGTGATCCATTAACTGCAGAAAAAACTGAGCCATAATTAGGCCTATTATTACAAAGACATCCCAGCCAAGGTAGGGAATAGGTAGGTACCACATGATGGGATATGACCGGTTGAGCCGCCGGTAATTTCTATGGAACGCCAAGTGCGTCTCTCAGTGAATGTAGTCGGCTTGCCGATGTCATCAATGAATGAACCCCCTGGATACCAGCTACATATTCATCCCACAGTCTTGTCAGTCGTTGATTTGCTCGTATTGCCGTTCGTGATGTATAGCCTAATTGTGTAATTGAAAATTAGAATTTTGATATTTTTATGTAGACCCCTACTACATTTTTATAAAGTTGTATAAATTGCAAAATTGTATTAAAAATGTGTTTATTTACGTTTGGTTTGCGGCGTATTTCAATTAACTTATTCGTTATTTGTAATATTTGGTTAAATTATTTAATTAAATTATTTATTATATGTAAGTTTAACAAATAGTACAAAAATAAAAATATATAAATTATAAAACCATAGTAAATACTGTATAATAACATAGGACTAACACATTTAAATTTATTGTTTATAGTCATGCAAAATCGTATTAAAAATGTAATAACTTGATTATTTTTTACGTTTGGTTTGCGGCGTATTTCAATTAACTTATTCGTTATTTGTACTATTTTGTTAAATTATTTAATTACAGTAGAGCCTCGTTTTTACGTACCCCAGTTACACGAACCCTCGGTTTTACATACGCCTCTTATTGACGATGACGTCATCAAAAACCCCGAAAATATTCAAAACAAACGGTCATTTTCAGAGCAACCATAAGTAAAAAGACTATAACAATAAACAAACCATAATGCAATGTATTTTCATTAAACAGCAACGTTGGTTGAATCTAATACCGGGTTGTTATAATCTAAAACCACGTGAACTGAGTGAGATGAACAACTATCGATGGTTCTCAAAATAATTGCTTTCTTCCTTAGCTTCGTGTGGCAAACCATGGAAACACTTGTCTGGTCGAATTTTCTACACAAAGCTGAATAGGCATAGTTTTGTACACGAACGCTAATTGGTAGGCTCGCCCAGTGCAGTGCACATGGTTGCTGTTTCACGTACACGAACGCTAATTGGTTGGCTCGCCCAGTGCAGCGCCCATGGGTTTAGTTTGTCTCAACAGGCCCAGACAACACCACAGCTCTGTTGTTTAAAGTAGGCACGAAGGGGAATTCCCAAGTTATACCTTTGTCGTATAGGTAATCTTACAATATTTTCATGTTCTTTAGTTAAATAAAAGATATAAAGTGATGAATTAATACGCTAGACACACGGTTTTATTTGAACACTTTATTATGACATCGTAAAGTGATGAATAAAAACACTAAACACATGGTTTTATTCGTAGGCCTAGAGGCTTGGTCTAGCCTAGCTAGGTAACATCGTTCGTTCACATACGTATATTGAGCGTTATGTACTTATTAGGTCAAAGGTTACCACAAATTTAACCCAACCTCTATTTTACGAATCCCCCGATTTACATACACCCTCCGGTCCCGTACCATACATAAAATTGAGGTTCTGTAAATTATATTTATTATATACCATATATAATAAATGATAAGAATGTATGGAGTTTTTTTTTTAACTATCTGGCAAGCCGACTGAATTAGATGACTATAAACAATAAATTTAAATGTGTTAGGCCTATGTTAATATACAGTATTTACTATGGTTTTGTAATTTATATACTTTTTATTTTTGTACCATTTGTTAAACTTATATATAATAAATGATAAGAATGTATGGAGTTTTTTTTTTTTTTACTATCTGGCAAGCTGACTGAGCAAATACTCACAAAATTTAAATTAAAACGATAGAAAGAACAAGTAAATA